TTACTTGTGAAACTGCTGAAGTTCTAAAAGATGTAATCCAGCTCTGCAAGTGTAAACAAACAAAATCAGTAAATAAAACTCCACATCAAAACAACAAGATTTCATTAAGGATCTTGATTCAAACACAAACTTTGAATTTAAATTTATTTATCTTTTCATTTTGATAATTTGGTGTTGAGTTGTTATTTGCTTGTTCTGTTTAATAAAGTGGTATGCAAAATTAGAAAGAACAGAAAGGAATGAGGCTTCTCACATTATCACAGAATGAGGCTTCTCACATTATCACAAGTCTCCATTATGTGGTTCTTTAAGAGAGCACTAACTATTGCATAGATTAGAGTGAGACTTGGAAACCCTGAAAGCTGACATGCTGAATGCATCACAAGTCTTGATTAATAAAAGCTTTGTATAGTCTATAGCAAGTCTATAAAAGTGGGGATTTTTCAAGGGAGACAGCAGTACGCTCCAGTTGTACTCTGTAAGACTGTAACTCGTAAGCCTAAATATACAACTATATTAGAAAAAGCTGGACTGATGCAGAAAGGAGAAAGGGATTACTAATGATATATTTATTGTCAGATAAATTCATTGTAAAATTTAGCTGTAGACAATACAAGTAGTGTTTTGATCTCATTATAATTCACAAAGGTAATCTTTAGGCCTGTTGATATCCTGCATGCTCTTGGTTGATGCAACAGTGGTATAATTTGCCCAATACTAATTGTTTACTACAAAACAGCTAATAGAATAATCGATTCCTTTTAGTGATCAGGCTAAAACCTGAGAGTCTGATACTTGACTTGTTAATGTATTTAAGCTCTAAATGAAACTACTGAAACTACTTTTATACTGAAGTTCTTGACTCTCTTATAGCTCAGTATCAGACTTACTGTTTTCTACTAGGTGTGAATTTTTACGTTGAGGTATAGAACATACCCAGTGTCAGGACTGAGTGGTATGACGATAGGGTGAGTAGAAATCTCTTTTTGGTGTGGGAAACAGGGACAAAAGAGGAAAAAAAAATGTTGTTGCTGCTCTTTTCCCATTAGCCCGGTGGTTAGAAAATACCTAGAGGCTGGAAGACAAGAAAATTCAAATGTCTTTGCTATGTCAAACTTAATTTGTTAATTGAGGAAGTATCTACATTTCTATGACATTGATTATTACTCTCATTCTTAGCTGTTTTACCTGTTTTATTTTTTTATATGTAAAAATAATTAAAATAATTGCAGTTAAATATGGCATAGAATACAGGTACCACAACTTCCTAGGGAGTCATTTTACATTACGGCTGCAGAAAAAAAATATTATTTCTATTTTCTTTACCTTTATTTTCAATTACATATTTGGTGTAGACTGAAACTACTACAGGAAAAAATATTTTTGGAAATAATTTCCCCCTGATGCTCTACAGTTTGAATAATCTCAGTTAATACTCTCTATCTGAGAAGACTACACAGAAACTTCATATGGAAAATGTAGTAAGGGAACCCAGAGTTGGTTCTTGTTTCCTTCTTTCTGTAAGGAAACTTTTTTCTTTAGTGAATGTTTAACACATTTTATGAAAGTGGTAGAGACCTATTGGGAAGACTGTGGAGATACTAGATGAGATGATGAAATACTTGCCCACTGCAGCATCCAGCTAGAGCAAACATGGTAGTTCCCACTTTCCTGGGCACTGGCTGAGCTCTGTGTTCTGTCTGACCATGTTTGCTATCATATTAAGAGACAGAAAGAGGCACTACCATCACCTTTTTGAGGAGTACTTGACATAAAGAAATATATTTAGTCAGCCAAAGAAATATATTTAATTAATTAGTTTTAGTTAGTTAGTTTTCCTTGTTGATGAAAAAAAACAGTTGATTTGTGTTAGAATGGATTCTTTTGTTTGAGTCAACTCTTCTTATTTTCAAATTTAAGTACAATGAGAGACTTCCTTAGTAACCTGATATTCAAGTATGAGAAGCATCGGAGGACATAACCCACAAAATAAGCAAAAGTCCTGATTAATCAAAGTTTAGGAAACTGATATGAATAACAGTCAAAAATTAGGAGCATCAGTTATAGAATATTGCATTATAGTCTTTGATGTAGAATATTTCTAGGGTACTATTTTATTTAATATTTTAATAATAAAACCACCTAGGGTTATTTATTTATTTATTTTCTTTGTGGTGTAAAAGTAATGCTTCGCATTATTCAGATGGTTCTAACAGTCACACCATGCATTTGGCCCTTTGCCTTTTGGATTATAGGCAAAGTCATAGAATGTTGTTGTTTGAAAGCTAAAGTAAATCAGGGTGTTATGAATTGTTAAATGCAAGATCAAACCCATAATCCTCTTTGGACAACTGCTCAGGGAAAAAAAAAAAAAAAAAAAAAAAAGCACAACTGTGAACCATGCTTGTCAGGCAGCAGAGCAGAATTTCTTGAATTTATTTATTTATTTGTTTTTGGATTATATTCTTGCATGCTTGCTGGTGAGTTTAAGAAGTTGTTAGCATAGGGAATTAAGATAATGATGCATCGGTAGATGGCAAATGTTAGCATCAAGAACTAAAAGAAAATACTTTGATATTTCTGTACAGATTCTTACCTTCATTTGATATAAAAATGTTGGCTAAGAAAACATAGAATAATGACATCTTCTAAGATATTGAGACATTTACCACAAAAGTTTTATGGAAGATTTGTTTTTCTGCAGTTGTCTTAAAGAGCAGATGCAATCCTTATTACAACACTTTGTCTCTTTCACCCAAGAACAACAACAACAAAAAGCAACTTCAACTGCTTTTCCAGTATGCTTTTTCCAGTAGCAATGCTAATCCTTATAGCCAGAATCTCAGCATAACATTTCCATAAACATTATGAGTCAATTTGGGTACATATACATTGTGCAAATGCAAGGCTGAAAATGCTTATTATAACTTATATGGGTCCCAGACACAGCTCCAAAGTTATTTGATCTTTTCAGCAAAAGCTTCTTAACTATAACTAATAACTTATAACTATAATAGGGCCTCCTGTAACAATACTAGGGATTTGGAGGGAAATTAATAATTTCTGTACATTTTCTGAAAATAACTGGAATTAAAATTATGAGCTATTAGGTACAGGGGAATAGCATTGCTCACAGTTCATCAGTTTTAAAAGAGTAGAATGTGGTGAAGATTTTTTATAGGGTTATTGCAGCAGAGAGATTCTATTCCTTTGATCTTTGCTCTATTTCCCTCTCCCTCTCTCAGTCATGTCCCCCCACCCTTCACCTCTAATAACTGAAGCTTGATGAAATCTATTTTAAATGTCTTTGGGCTATTTTTAGGTGTCTTAGGGATAATTCACCACTGAGAGGTGTTATTTAGCTAAATACAGTGAAAATGTGAGCTCCCTTCCCATCAGGATGGAATTTCTGCCAAAGGAACACCCTTCAGCCCTCTTTAGCTTCATAATGTCACTAAATCATTTGGATTCACAGAGAGCTCAGCTATTGCACTTTTGAAACTTGAGGAGTTATTCTGAACTTCTGTGCAGAGTGTAGCAAACAAAAATTGCTGGTCCATGTGCACTTTGCACCTGTATAAGAAATTCTATTCAGTAGAATGGCACACTAGGGTGAGGATTCATGTATTTGCAAGCTCTGGCAAAAATTAATAAATTATTCATGAGCATTCATGTTCTGTTACCATGGCTGATACTTTGAAGAAAAAAAAAAAAAAAAGGAAGGACATCTGAAAATAGTTATATGGAAATATTTTATGAAAAATAATACTACCTAGTTTGTAAACTAAGGAGTGTTTTGTTCACCTGACTTTTACTGCATTAGCCATCTAATCCAAAAAGATCATAATGTATCCTTGAGTGAAATAAGATAAGTAGATCCAAAGGACAATTTATCCTTCCTGTGTTACTCATGTGTCCTAGAATAGTGAGAATCATCTAGAGGTACTCATCTGCCTTCATTGATGATGGAGGAGCCTACAGTGGCAGACAGGTTTCTATGGGAAAAGCTAACATGCATACACATTGGAAAAATAGCGTGTTTTTCTTGCAAAAATCAAAGACTTTTCCTCTGGCAGTTCAGCCAAACTTCCCTAGCCAATCTTGCCTGCTCCATTTTACACCTCTTCCCCTGGGTCTTTCAACAGAGACATGGAAAACGATCTTTCTGTAACCGTGCAGACTATTTCCATGTTATGGCTTCTGCCTCCCCTCCTTTTCTGTAGGCTCACAACACTCATTCATTCACTTCTAAACTGAACACAACATTCTCACTGAGCCTTCACTAGAGCAATGGATGGGAAAAGTGAATATTTTATGTTACTTTCAGGCTCCAAATCTGCTCTCAATTTGTGTTAAAATGTTTTCTGTTTTAAGAACAGTTTAGCCCATTCAAACTATAATTCTCTATGACATTTTTATTCCTCCCTTTCTAATTTTAACTCTAGTCTGTCCATTAAAAGTAGACATTTGTTTAACTTTATCACTTCAGTTTTTATTGGAAATATTTATCAGATATCAGTTTTTGTGATGTATAGCAAGCGTATTTTCAGGTTCTGAAAAAAATATTCACAAGGTGTAAAACTTTCCTCTTACCCTTTTCTTGTATTATGTAATTTATTTGAAATGAGCTTTACTACTATCCCAGTTTTTAAGGATGGAGATCACCATCTAAAATAATCAATTCTTCTTAAGTATCTGCTTGTACTTTAGTTTTATGAATTTCGCTATGATTTTGGTACCAATGTAATAATATATATTGTATGTATGTATACGTAATAATATATACATTATACAATACATACAATACATATACAACAATACATATTGTATATATATATAACATAATAATAATGTATAATATATATTGTATATAACATTATATACAATATATACAATGCAATAATTCTTTAATAAATTATATTCATTTCTAATGTAATCTGTAATCTCAGGACTGATCTTAACTTTTGTTTTTTTGTCTTCTTCTTTGCTTTTTTTCTTAGATGGTAAAGGAAAAAGGAGAAATCCTCTTCATGACTACAAAAAAACAGGAGAGTTGATGCTCATCAAGGTAAACAAAACACTGGAAGTTAAAACCAAGCTGTTAAATACCACTGAGCAGTGTGCCAAGAGATGCAGCAGGAACAAAGGTCTTTCATTCACTTGCAAGTAAGTTATGTATCTCCATTATTATTACATTTTTCCTAATAGATTCTTATATAATACTCTTTGGACAAAGGTTTCTCTGGAATTGTCATCAGCTGTAGCTTGTACTGAGTACAATCTAAAGACTGCACTGTTTTGATTTCTTTGGTATTTCTTATTTGGTAGTTCTTATTTGGTATCTTTATTTTCTTATTTGATATCTTTTCTACCTGTCCAGAATATGTAATGACAATGTAATGTAATGTAAAGCATTATCTGAGTTGTTCTGTCTTTTTAGCTTGTCCAATCTGTAGTCTTTTCTGTAATATAGCTGAGAAATATACTCATTTTAAGATGTCGATGATTTGTGCTGCACTGTAGTGTTCAGTGAACATTTCTGGGATTTTTATCTCTCTTATAAAATGGTTATTGTCACACATCACAGCTGCAGTATTTCAGCACCACTTCAGACCATATTCTACCTTCATTCTTTACACATTACTCCCACTAAAGTCAATGGGAACTTCACACATGGAACACAGATACATACACTGCTGAAGTTCACTGGCAAGTACTATGAATTTGATACAATGGATTCAAACCTTCTCAGCTGTACAATCATTACAAGTATATGATAGCTATTCTACAGCATCTGCTGTCTCTTACAAACACATCATGCAGCTGATTGCTTGTCTGCTTAGTACATATTCTCTACTGTTTTTTGGAACAAATCACTGTTATTTTTCCTGTTTATTAGACTTGAATTGTTCCCCTGGCCTTTTTATGCTAGACCATTAGCAATAAATGAACACAGGAGAATCTTGGAGAGAATTAATGACTTCTGTACTAGTAAGCATGGGACTAAATGTCATCCTGATCTTGAAATATATATTAAAAAAAAAAAACTTATGACAAATAGAAGTCAGATCAAATGTGATAACAAAAGCCCTTCCTTGGCAGAAAAGGTCCTCCATTGAAATTTAATCCTTTTTTAAGCCTTTAATTGCAGATTAAAAGAGATCTGGAGATGTAGTTTTTATTATTTTGTACTTTGATTATTTACATAAGTAAACAATAAGCAGAGTTTACATATTTTCCACGCACTGATATTTTTTTACATGGTACAAGTAACTCCTTTTCCTATTGGCAGAGCTTCTATGGACATCATTGCCAAGTCGATCAGGTTGTACTCCATGCAATAAGAAATCCTTCGGTTCTGGTCTTCAGTGGCAAAGAGTAGTATAGAATTAGGTTTTACAGTGTAACAAATTACTAAATAATGCCAAGAAAGCAACAATTTCAATATCTTCTCAGGAAGATTGTTTCAAGGATCTTCTAATTGTAGCTGCTCTGGATGGTACATTTAATCTTCTGAAAATAATAAGTATGTTAATATATTCATTGATTCCACTTTACATGAATAATATTCTAGAACCTCTCTGCATTTTCATTACTTTTTAATTTATGAAATATTTTTTTTCTATTGGGACACTCAGTCCCTGTCACTGTAGGACAGATTCATTAAGGGGCAAACTCTCTCTGCTGTAATCAGTCAATAAAAGAATATAAAGGACCAATGATGGACTTTGACAACAGAGCTTGGAAGAATTCTGCTCACAGATAGCATTACCGCGATCAGTCATATATGGCTATTTTACACTGAAAATGAAAAATAATTAAAAATCTGACTGCTCATGCTCTGAATTTCCCATTTTTTCCTACAGTTGTTTAGCCAACAAGTCTAGCAACAGAGGTGTAGGTGATTAGGTCTTGCCTGTGCTATCTCTGTGCAGCAAGAGAGATTCCCTGTATCTGGAAACATTCTTGTGGTTTCATTTGGTCCCAGATGAGTCCTTTTATACTGTGCATAGTTCTTTGATGCTACTGTAAAATTTGACGTGTTCACTTTTAAAGGGAGCAGGGATTGCTAATCTTTCCCTTTTATTCGTAGAACCACCAGTCTTTAACTTCATGCCAGCATATGGTTAGTACAGGGTAAAATGTGTTGCTAACTGAAATTAAAACCAATTTGTTTACTGGCTGTTGTGTGATCATACAAAACTTAGAAGATAAGTGGCATAAATTGGCATTTTATATACATGAAACATAAGACTTGGATTTGCCTTTGTTTATTGACATTTTTGTGACTTGATTCTAATGTTAGTACTGATCCAAGAAGTAGTTCTCTATTACTTGGGTAACAACACTAATGTTAATCTTTATTTTCTGGATGCAAACTCAGCTTGTTTAAGAATTATGATAGGATAAAATAGAAATACTTCATAACATAATTATGACAATAGTACTTGAAGAAGTATTCCATGAGTCTCCTTCCTGAGAAGTACGCAACCAAGATGAGGGTTTAACCTTGCTCTGGTTCTTTTACACTAGAAAGTGGTGAATTAGTGGAGTCCAGGCATTACAGACAGGATCAGCCATTTCTAAATTGCTGGGGAAAAAAAAAAAAAAAAAAAGCTTTTTATTTATTTATTTATTATAAACTGCCGAATTTATAATAAAAGTTATAATATATCAGAGCTGACCTTTCTTCCTTTCTCCTGCTGTCATGCTTGCATAGATCTTGATCATCTTTAATAGAGTTGCAAGAGCCTTATACAGACTCATTTTTCCTACATAACACTATTGCTAAAATCCAACCCCCCAACAAAGTATCCCTTAGATTCACTTATCTTGTCTTTTTGACTTCATAATTATCTGTTCAGCATTTTCTGTATTCCATATCAGCCTTTTTTACCTACTGCTGAGCTGTTCTGTTCATTTGGTTTACTACTAGTTGCAGTCCATTACTCCTGCTGTTTTCTTTAAGTTATCCTTTCAGCTTTTCCCACATTTTTTTTTAAAGGATGAGAAAAACACAATATAGCTACTATTATACTGGCTGTGCAGGTGACTGTTGCAGACATGTCACTTCCTTACCTATAAAGCTGTACCTGTCTTATCCTTTGTTATCTTCTTACCTTCTATTTTGTCTTTTAGTTTCATATTTAGACAGCAAGGGGCTCTAGTGTAGACCACAGGATTCCAGAGTCTGGTCAGAATCTCTACTATCTCAGTACAAATAACAACAACAAAAATTGTTGTGATCAGCAGTATCAGTAGAAGACCAAGAATTTGCTTAAATATGTTGACTTTGGAAGTGTAAAAACCCTCTCGATTAGGGTCCAAGAAAAGATTTGTAGAAACTTTTATGTACAAAAGCGACTGAAGCCAAGCTGGAAAGAAACCAAAAGGCAACTGAAAGGCAAAAACTGAAAGAATTGTTTGTAAACAGAGCATTCTGCATTCCCACTTTAGAAGGGAGGAGGGGAAGGGAGAATGTAATTGGAAAGGCTTGAAAGGTCAAGGATATTTTTGTGAAGATGGAGTTGGAAGCACTTGGATATGTTCATATTTGAGAACTAGCCAGAAGAGAACAGAAGGCTGAACAAAGGCAGAAGGATGAAGGTTAGCAGGTTGGAAACATTTGGAGTCAACAGAGTAGAGAGCAGTTGGATGAAAAATCTGTTTGGTGATGGAAAAGATAATGAAGAGGATGTTTGAAAGAGGGAAGAGCGGGGAGGTTGGATAAGATCTTGTAATATTTTTAACTGAAGCCAGCAAGATCTCACACAGAGAATCTTGTGTGGCAAGAGGAGAATTAAATGGAAAGCAAGAGCTGTGAGTTGGGGGTGCAGTAAACAGCCAAAGTAAAGATGAAGTGTAAGAAATCTGTGTGGCTTTTGCATACTATTAGGTGGTGTTAAAATCTCAGGTCAGGATAAAATGGCTGAGATTTGGGATGACCAATGCCTGCCAGTTAGAAATACAGATTGTGTTGTGGACTAAGGACAATAGTCATGTGAGTGATTTATTATTTTTTTTCTATTGAAAAATGAAGGCAAAAAATTCCTTGTTTAATTTTTACTTATTCTTTTGTTGTTCTTATTGTAGTTGTTTGTTTGTTAATTGGAATAATTGTTGTCCTGATCCAGACAGTTAAGTGTTTTTAAAATGCTTAAAAATATTTTACCTACACTTAAAGCAATTCATTTGAAAGTGATGTTGGGAGGAAAAACTCTTTATATTTAATTGAAAACATTGACAGAAAGTTTTCTTGCTTTTCTGATTCCTGTTTGTCTTTCTTGCCTTCTTCACCTCATCCCCCAATTTCACTCAATTCAACACAATTCTTGAAATATTTTTGAAATAATCTAACCTTTAAAGCAGTTAAAAATAGAGAGAGAAAAAAGAAAAAAAAAAAGAAAACTAAAGCAAAGCAAGGATAGGTACACAATCACAGTTTAGATTATTCATAAAAAAATAAAAAAAATAAATAACCTTGTTTTCAAATAGCTCTGTTGTTCTAGGCAAGAAACAGAACTCCTTGTGCCTCATTTTTTCTCAAGCCATCAGAGTGGATAAACTATTAACTGTTAGCTATTTCACAGGCATATTGTACGTAAAACAGAGATGTTATATAATATTCTTTTTTCTTTCTTTCTTTCTTTCTTTCTTTCTTTCTTTCTTTCTTTCTTTCTTTCTTTCTTTCTTTCTTTCTTTCTTTCTTTCTTTCTTTCTTTCTTTCTTTCTCGCTCTCTCTCTCTCTCTTTTTTTTTCTTTTTTTTTTTTTTTTCCTGAAGAAAGCAACGTAACTGGGGACACAAATGCTGTCTCAGTCACATTTATGTCACTTTTAAAATAAAGATCTTTAATGACAAGGAAACTCTTAGATTAGTGTGAACAACCAAGCTAGTATTTAATGTAGTGGCCACATCAAATTAATTTCTTTGTTTCTTTGTTCTTGTCAGCACAGTTGTGGGTTTAAATCGTAATTGGGGCTGTTTCTCTGACTTTCCCAGTAAAAATAAATCTGATGTCATTGCATGCTCCTTGGCAAGCCATGTGTCATTATTATAAACCACATAGAGATTTTTTTCTCATCAAGATTTTCTTTGCAGGGCCTTTGCTTATGACAGAGTTACAAAACGGTGCCATTGGTTATCCTTCAACAGCTTGACAAATGGTGTGAGAAAGAAGCAAGACCATGCGTTTGATCTATTTGAAAAGAAGGGTAACTGATTTATTTACTGATTTTGTTTTTCCAGCTATGGAAGGGGACAAAAGCTGAGGTCAGTCAGTGACTTTTTGGCTGTATAGACATTCTGGGTATAATACGGTTTTATACATTCTGAAAACTGAAACTTACATCTTTATTTACAAATATTGTCTTTGTGTTGCAGAACTTAAAATCTCGGTCGTATGTGTTACTGTTATTGACTTAATGTTACTTTTCTTTACCTCCTTAATAAGTGGAGGTGTTAAGTTCTGAGTCATGTACTTTTGGTCAATCAGACACTTTGATAATATTTTTGGTAGCTTTCTTTGTCAAGCTAGCAATAACTCGTTTAAAAAAAAAAAAAGGAAAAAATACATGTGGACAATGATTTTTTTTGAACAATTATGTCTTTAAAGAATATGAAAATTATTTTGAATGTGAAAACTGACAGTGAGATTTATTTTTAAATACATTGAGAAAATGTTTAACCAAACTCCTAATACTTCCCTTTTCTTTCAATAGACTATGTCAGGAATTGTATAATTGGAAAAGGAGCAGACTACAAAGGGACAATATCTGTCACCAAAAGTGGTATTCAGTGTCAGGCCTGGAACTCAATGATTCCCCATGAGCACAGGTAAGAGTTCAGCAGCAGAGACAGTGGGAATAGTGCTCAGACAGCTTCTACAAAGCACAGTTTTATTTATTAGTAGACAAGGAATTTATGAGAACATTGATCTTAAACCACAAAATCTGCTAGGTGTATTCTTGCCTTTTCCCAAGAGATGTCATTCTCGAGGTCTCAGAAAACCCTTACCTTCTCAGTCTTTCTACAAAGTGTTCTCTCCCAGGGCTAGCCTGTGTGTCTGGATCCTTTCCTCCCCCGTGTTGGATTTTTTTTTAGCTCTTTATACCCTTTTGATCCTGGCAGTAGCAAAACAGCTGCATTACTTCAGCCTGGAGTCTGGAAGTTTATCACTGTTTTCTAATGGGCTCCTAGGAAATGGGTCATTTAAAAAAATATGGTATGGGAAGCAAAGGCTATTGGGAATATTAGCCCACCTATTTGATCAGTATACAATTATTGTTACTATATTTTGCATAGATCATACTCATTCTGTATTATTTGTAGTATATGTTAAACTCTATAAAGCATTTAGATCAGGCAACAAATACACTGAATTTTGATATATTGATCAAATGATTTAAATCCTTTCCTTCAGATCATACAAGCACAATAACTAAAAACTGATGCAGCTGATATGGGACAACTTTTGAGTTTAAGACCTTATATAATGGGAACTGAGAACATATCTACACCCTGAGAGCAGCCTCATTTCACTTACATTACCTAAAGAAAAGAGAAGAAAATGAAAAACTGAAGCCAGGAGGAGTAATGATAAAAGTAGATTTAACCGTAGCAAAAGTTGCTGGAAACTAGAAATCAATCAATCAATCAATCAATAAGAAGATTTACTTTCCCACTTTTTGGCCATTTCTTTTTGAACCTTTTCATATTGGCTTCAGACAGATTATAAACTCTTAAGATCCAAAAAAGACATGTCCTCTCACCCAATAATTTCCCATTCACTTTGCTGACTTTTGGTCTGTTCTCTTAGCATCAGCACTTTTTTTAGGAAAAGCCAAACTGGAGACTGTTAGTGAGACTGGGCTATACACTGCTCAGTCCTGTCCTGACCAAATCTATCCAGAGTTCAAGATGAGAGCTTGGAACAACATTAAAAGGTGAAGAATACTTGGGTTCTCTCCTCTTATGATGTGTTGCAGAGCTGAGCCTCAGGCTTGGACTGGACTTAATTGCTTACAATATCGTGTATCTGATTTTCAGTGTTGGACTAGACCCATGCTTAATTGTGATCATATGATAAATGCCATCACCTCATATGGCAATGACCTCTTGAGACTCAATACCTTGAGGTATACAACCTTCATCTTTTAAAAATGAAATAATTCTCAATAATCACATCAGGAATGAGCATTAATTTTGTATAGTATACACATGACTGTGTAATAAAAGAAGAAAAAGTGTATGAAGGGTATATATTTATCACTAAATTGAAATTTTGTTTCGATCTGTAGCAAACACAGCTCTATCTGCTGAGAGACAGACACTCTTCTATGATGAATTTTATGAGAATGACTTTTCTCCTGTCTTGTGCAATAAGTTTAATTTTTAAAAGGTCACTGGATAAATGAGGTGGCTGAATGCTAATTTTGTTTTTCAACATCAGAAAATATGATTTCATCATCAGAGACATGAAGGAGATGGGAAGAAGCAGACAGTAGTGGTGTGTTTGGAACTTATTAGTATGAAAGTCTTAGATTTTTAGGTCAGTTTTTCTCAACATCTGGTTATCACGAAGTGCAATTTAGAAAATAAATCCCTCCCCCCCCCCTTTTTTTTTCATGTTCAAAGGAGAGATGTACTTTATTGATTATTTCTTGATCTTTCCAGAAAATTTTAAAATAACTTCAGACTTTAAACTTGTGTTTGTATTTAACTAATGATGTATTTAATTAATTTGTATTCCAGTAGAACCTGGAGACTCCCAACTGAAATCAGGATTACATTATTTTAGTTCCTATTCTAGCACAGCTTATGAAACTCTCTCTACATATTTTTGTTTCTTAAGAATTTATTACCTAAATGGCTCAAGATAATATAAAAAAGGTAAAAGAGAGTTGGTGTAAGAGTAGACCAATACTTCACTGGCTTTTTGCTAGCTTCCAGCAACTTTAGCTGTTGTTGAATCTGCTTTTACCATTACTCTTACTGGCTTCAGTTTCTGGCTCTCTTTTTCCTTAGGTAATGTAGTTGAACTAAATCAGTACACAGATTTAGGAGTGGCTCTATTGTATAATTTTGGGTGAGTCTTTACTCTGTCTCATTTCCTCCCTCAAGAATGTTGTTTCAATACCTGTTGAAGCCATTTGTGTATCTGACCCATCTTGAGTTTTTAATGTTATACATTTTTTATTTTTATTTATTTTTTTTAATATTAGGATAGTATATCTGGCATAATTTGAGATGCTTTTTCTCCTGTATCTACTGAGCAGAAAGATTTTCCAGCAGGAAAATCAAATAACTTTTTCTAACATGTGCTGACACACCACATTAATGTATATACAGATTGTAATGCCCCATCAGAAAAGTTTGTCCAGGATTGTCTTTAGTTAATTTTTTTTGAGACATTTATTTTACAAGACTACAGAAGACAAACAGAAGTAACAGTTTCATAAGCAGCAGTGATGACACAGAAATTATTCTCTTCAAGAACCAAAAATAAGAAAAGCACTTTTAAGTAGTGTTTCCACGTTGCCTTGACTAGAACCACAATGTGATTAACAGAGGTATTTTCCACTTCAGTTAATTCAAAGATTTCATTAACTGGAATAAAACATGATTAAAATGTCACATTGGAATTGCTGGAATTTTCTTTTTCTCTCCATTTATTTATTTATTTATTCATTCATAACATGGAATTTTCCAAGGACAGCAGGGACTATATATTTCTCTTTTGCTTTTGTATATAAACTACATCAACATCATAAAGACTGTCCCCAGTGCTTAGTTTGGATTCCTGAACTGCAAGTTTCTACATTCCTCTAAAGAAAAATAGATAAAATTTAATACCATTTTTTTTCCACTAAAATAGAGATACTTTTGATTCCCTTGGTGATTATAGATAAAAAAGATAATAATAAAAAAAAAAAAAGTACAAAAAATGCAGAATAAGTTATTGGGGTAAAAAGTGTACTTTACTTGTGATATTCTACCAGAATTTAAGCATATTGAAGAAAAAAAATGCAAAAAATCTTAGAAATCACAAAAATGAAACTAATTTATTAAGTTGAATTACAGGTTTTTTGTGATCCCCAAGGTGTTTTGCACAATTTTTCAATTAAACAAGAAAAAAATGAAATTTTCATAGGATTGAGCATAATTCTGAATTGTAATTTACCTGATGTTTGAGTAACATTGCAAGGAAACTGACAGTGAAAGAACACTGGCTTTGTCTGTAAAGTACAGCTTGTGTGGTGATAAGCTCTTAGGTCAGGTTTCTTACAACAGGGTAAGCTATTTCCCCACCTAAATTGTGGGGAAAAACAATTATTATTACTTTTACTTATAAATATATATACATGTCTATGTATAAATATGTCTGGGTGAATGTGTGAGTGTCTCTAGAGACGCATCCCTTTCCAGACAGATAAGAAGACAAAACCTTGGCCCTAAAGGGTTTATATTTGGTAGACTGGGCATTGACATGGAAGTCTCATACTGAAAATGTGTGCTAGGGCAAAAATATACACATTCAATCCCTAAAGACAAATAAAGTGCTTAACATTGCCTTGAAGGCATTGTAAAGAAAAAATGCCAAGGGATATTGCTTTTTAATAGGCCTTGCAGCAAAAACAGAAAATATAGTGAAAGGGTAAGCAAAGTTTTAGTCAGTAAAATTTTAGTCAGCGAGGTTCCTGTTAAATGACTTAATTTGTACAAAAGCTCTGAGAAGTAAATCTCTATGTAGCAGACCTTATGGTGACAACAGTTGGGCTTTCTGGCAGAATATGAAACAAGACATCTAAAGCAGTACCTGGGCTAATTTCTGATGCTTAAATTCAAAGCAGTCGTGGCCTCAGGTAGTGAAGACCCCTTGGTGTGGTGTGTCATACCACTCAACCTTGTTCACACTAATTTCCTGGTACTCAGGTCTAGCTGTTGCCTGACCAGGCACGGCAAGAGACCTCTCTGTTTGTAAGCTATGTGGAGTAGGTGCACCCCATCCCGGCTGGGCTGAGCCTGATACATGCACATAAGGTGTGTATGAACAGCAGGCCTGATGGGCCAATGGACCAATGAATTTTACACCTATGTCCATAATAAATTCCACCTGCCTTTTCCAGGGGTCTTCTACTGCTCTGTGAGTAGTTACAAGCTGGTGAAGAAGAGAGTAGCAAGGGTTGGCAGGGAGCGTGCTGCTGCCACCAGCTCTGTAGCAGATAGCTATCTCTGGGTGCCTGAGGGATGGGAGTAAAACTTGCTAGAGTAAGCTACAGGCCAGACAAATTATCCCAGACTTGGACCATTGATTGAGTAATCCTAACTGAAGATGTGTATTTTTGTATGGACAGATATTTTTGTCTGTGCGGGCAGAGTGGAGGGAGGGTGAAGGGAGAAGGAAGCTGAAATGTGATTGTTTCTAGATGTTTATAAAAATAGTATGATTAACACTGAAGTTTGCATGCTCTTATACTGTAATGATTGTCATTTTAAAACTAGCTTTTTGCCTTCGAGCTATCGGGGTAAAGATCTGCGAGAAAACTTACTGCCGAAACCCCCGAGGGGAAGAGGGAGGGCCATGGTGTTTCACCACCAGCCCAGAGACACGCCACGAAGTCTGTGACATCCCCCTCTGCTCAGAAGGTAATGTTGCAGTGCTCATGTGAAAAGTTGCTTTTTTATTGTACAAAGAGCAGGTACACAGAACTGTTATCTTCAGTAACACTCACCTTTGCAGCAAGGAAAGGTGATTTCTTATCAAGAATGAATGCTGTAGCAATAAAAGCAGTTGTTAGAGAAAAAAGGTCTTTTTACATTCTAGTAATCTGGAAAATTTGAACAAGCTTTCAGGCTCAGCAGCTCTTGTCCAGGTCATGGAAAAGCTGAAACATTGAAGTAGTGCTGAGTGCACAAATGTGTTCCTTATTTCATTACCTAGTTTATCGTAAATCTTTTAACAATTTCAGCACAACTGGATGATAAAATTGTCTAGTTGCATTCCATGATTAAATCAGCTTTCCTTTTTTTTTGATGAAAATATATGGGTAGTGAATTATAGGACAAATGTTCAAAGTAAACACACATTTTGTTTTTCAAATGATAAATGCTGTAAACAGGAAAACTTTTTAGAAAGGCAATCTCTTTACACTTTCAAGTCACAGAATCTGAAATCAAATTGATGTGTACCATCACATTTCTTGACTTTCATGTTTTGTTAACTTCCAAACCAAACTCCATATCTTGCTAGTCAGCCAATTCAGTTCCAGTCAATCAACCCATTTAAATTCTCAAGATAGGATGCCTTTAATTTTCCAGCTAATATGTTATGTTCAATAGCTATGCAAGGGAAAGGAGGGAGGAAGAGAATGATTTAAAAGGAGCTTGAAAATCTATTAAGAGATAACATTTAAAGATCAGTTTAAGTGAGCTTCAAATGGGATAAGACCTGGAGCTCACTGCAGGATCAAGACTTTGGTAGCAGATATCTTGACTGAAAAATGAGATTTGTAGTTGTATAAATTAATATTTATTAAGTGCTCCTTAATTACAACTACTCTAATTAGGGGGCACTTGAGAAATGTGTCTGTAGTTAATTATGGTGATTTTATGCTATATTTTAAGACTTCTCATTCTATATTATGTAGCATATTTTGTTCAGCTGAAATTTCAAATCCCTGTAGTGGCTTTTGCTCACTCTCCTGCCACCCCCCAACTTTCTTAAACCAAGACTGAAAATGTATCAGCAATTAAGCTGACAAAAAGAATTAGTATCAAAAAGAATCAGCATCATATGTAACTAAAAGTGCTAAGAATTTAAAGAGACAGACAGTACATCCTGAAATTTCTGATTCAGACATTATTCTGCATTTAATCTGGTGCTGTTATTATACAGTTCTGTATAATAACAGTGATTTAAAATTATGAAAGTTAGTTATTTAGAAAATATCACCTCTAATAATCTTTCCTCAGGTGTGTCTATCTCCCTGTAACTGTAACACTTTCAACTTGGTATGCAGCACATTAGAGATTAGAAGAACTCAACGAAATCTCTGTAATAGAAAAGGTTAGAAATCAGCTAGGAACATAAAGGCCTCTAACAGCTCACACCTACATGCTTCCAAACCATAAGAGTCCCATAAAGAGGTACCAGACTTAAGCATCTGGATTAGATCTAAGGAAGAGATGCAATTGCAAAGGACATTTCCCATACCAAGGATCCCTGACTTAAAAGATATCAGTTTTTACATCTTTCTAGGTTGCTTTCAATTTAAAACAGCAGGGATATGATTTGTGTGTGTGTGTGTGTTAAAATTCACCAGCATAAAAAATAACTAGTATGCTATTTGTTTGTTGGTTTGTTTCAAGTTGAATGCATGACCTGCAATGGAGAGAGTTACAGAGGGCCAATGGATCATACCGAGTCAGGGAAGGAATGTCAGCGCTGGGATCTTCAGAGACCACACAAACACAAATTTCGTCCTGAGAGGTAATCTCCTCCTCACTCCCAAGCAAACCTGTGTGGTTTAAATTTGAAAATTATATGTATTCTGGAAGCAGCTGGGCAAAATAAGCTGAGATGAAATTAATGGAGTTTATTAGTTTTAGCTCTTTGGGGATCTGGCCCGTGATATGTGCAGGTTGGTTACAGTCATGATGGAGATGCAGGATGGATACTAGTGACTATTTTGTGCAGGTGTGGCTACATCTTAATTCTGTGTAGTGCACAGAATTGCATTTACATGCAGTGCGTTAGTTGGTCAAGATTTCCTCCCTAGCCTCAATATCAGTAAAAAAGTTACCTCTGAATATTTATGTATATATTGTTATACAGCTTCACTTAGCTTAAAATACCTTAAAAACATTACAGAGTAAGTAACAATAAAAATTGCATTTTTTTTCTTTACGTTAGAGTTCTTAATACACTTAGTGAATATAAATGTGTGACATTACACCGTGTGCTCCTTTTTTGAACTATTGAACAGCTTTAAAACTGTAGCTGGTCTTCTGCTCTAATCAGCTTTATGTATCCAATCTGCTTGACTGCTGTGTTTGTTCTACCTGGAAAAACAGATCATTCCGTTTAGCATTTTATGAATTAATGTTTTAGACTTTTATATATGTAAGACTTATATTTATACTTATATAAAATATAAGTATATTTTATATACTTATATACTATATATATATATATATACACACTTATAAAATACTTATATATAGCCAGTAATAGCAAGACAAATTGTATCTCCTTAGCATTTTTCCTAGAGGGTAGATTTCACATTACTGCAGAGGATCATCTGTAACACACCATTCTGGAAGGATTTTGTGGGGAGGTTTAGGCCATGCAGAAGGATATTTTTGTCTGTCTTAAACTGGACTGAGATTTCTTTTTATTTTACTCTGTCTTTTGGCTTAACTCCACTTTTAAAATGGATTGAATAACCTTCAGCTGCTGGAGAAAGACTGCAAGAATCAACAATCTCAGAATGTCTGAGATCTTTCACTGAAAGTATCTTCATATATTTTAAAGTGTTCCATTAAATATAGCCTAATTTTTATACTCTGAAATACAGTACTAGTAGATTTTAGTCTGATTTATTTATTTATCTATTTATTTTCAGTAAAACATTAAGTGTCTGCAATTTTTGAGTTTATGTGATATAAACTTTTTTCCCTCTTAGCTCAGATGATCTGCTTCATGAATAATCACAGGGTCTCCCATGGCTCTGCTACAATAAATATTTTGTATTAGCAGTCTGGGACTGAAGATAATCTGTTTCTGAGTTTTGCCATGCACTTGTTGTGCATTCTAGGCTAAGTCACAGAAAGATTTTTTTTTTTTTCCTTAGGAATGAGTCATTTATAGAACTTCTGGGTACAAACAATAGCAATTTTTTTCTGTCAGAAGGAAACTATTCTTCTGTTAGTTTTGGTTTGTTTACAAAACGACTTTTCAGACTAGCTGCTGTCTCACTAGTGATCACTTTCCTACTTAAACATTTCCCACTGAAAATATCTTCCTGATCATGTTCATGTTCAGACTGTTTCTTTTTATTTTCTTTCCTTAAAAAAAAAAAAAAAAAAGCAATTGAAAAGCAATCCGTGTAGATCAAACAAATCTGTTAATGCTTTCGCAACTGTAAACTCCAGGATATTTCTAAGACTGATGTTAATTAACTTTATGAAATGATCACTAAAGGTAGTGACAATTACACTTTATCTTAACTCTTTATTTTATTTTAATTTATTATTTTATCTTATTCACATTTTAATGAACATTTAAGTTGTAAATAAGGGAGGAAGTCTGGAACAAATGATCAAGTAAAATACAGCAGTCTCTTCAGGGGCTTGTTCTATATTATCTACGAGTAATGTGAATAACCTGGAAACCAAGAAGGACTAGTATAGCTGGAAAGATTTTAACTTATTTGCATTTATGGATGCATCAATTGCAATGATGAAGAAAGAGAGCTAAAACTAATAATCTTTTCAAGTGCTCCATAATCTACCTGCTTTCATCTCAGGGTGAATACATGTCACTTTTCCTTTTTGTCACCTCAGTGAATTGTTCCAGATTTATTCCCTTCAGAAGAATTACTGAAGAGAATTCTTAATACCTGTTAGATGTGATTGAAGCTAGCAGTAGGAACTCCCCCAAACAACTCCTGGATGACCCATTTTTAGCCTTTAGTGGATGCAGAAGCTCAAACTCCCACATGTTAGGCAGGATTATGTCTCAATGTGGAATATAGACCACTGAGGATAATGGCTTAGACAGACATTGAAAAGCATTGAGAAGCAGCAGTTCTCTCCTCTTTTATTTTCTGCTCAGAAACAAATATGTCATGGAAATAGGTGCTTATTGCATAAAGTAATGTGGGGTTGAAGTGCAATATATGGGTTTCGTAGATGTAGGTATTCTTTTATTAACATATTCTGGTTCATATCTCTGTTATGAAAATTTGTATTATACAAAAATAAGTTTTCAGTACTGCATGCCTTTTAAAATTTATAAAAAAAAAAAAAGGAAAAGAAATATTGGTAAAGCAACAGTTTCAGACACTAAGTATCAGTTTAGTCACAGCAGAGCTAGACATCAGCATCTGTCTCTTTAAAGAGAATAAATATCTCTTCATCTAACATCTTATGTGTTTTTTTTTTTTTTCTTAGAAACCGAGAAAAAAGTCTTGATTTGACACCAGATGTATATCTTTATGCTTCATTTCAGTTTCAGCAGGAAAGTACAGCTACTGCTGTTTCAAAGGTTCTCAAAGATCTTGGAAACCTTGGGGTCTTTGTTGGGTGTGAGCAAGAGATCTGTGCCCAAGTGAATTACAGGAAGAACAAATCTGTAGGTGAAAGGGAATAGCTCTCAGGGAATCTTGTGTTGTGGAAATGCGTGGAATAGTTTGAAGCCTCATTGTATATCTGATCTCTTATATTTGTATCTTAAAGGTGTTAGTTTGCCCTTTCTATAGGAACTGAAGAACTGTTGCTTGCTAAATATAAAAGATGCCAGAAATGGGCCTAAGAATGTTGTGGGAAGAACTGGTGCCTGGAAAGGCTCTGGGTTCTGGAAATATCTTTGTACCCTTCTCTAAGTAGATACAGTAGGTGGAAAGATACAGTTCATTAACAGCACTGTCTGACAATGATGGTCAAAGCTAGAGCCCTGAAGAACTATTATATCTATTCTTAAGTTTCAGCTACTTACTGATACCATTTTGACATACCAACAATGCTAGGAAGGATGGAGTGTTCAATGCCATGAACACATTCTTCTATAAAGTGGATTCTTTACTTACCCTATTTTCCTGAGTGGCTTTAGGGAGCTATGACTGCAGGGACCTTGCCATTCTTGGACTCACTGTGGTAACACAAACTGCTATGTTGCTTGGAGCATACACTGCTGACATCAAACTTCATCACTGCACTTAACAGGTGCCCAAAGCCATCATGTTTTCAGCTACACTGTTATCCTATTAACTGTTTGCTTCTGAAATCCTTGGACTCAATATGTTCCTTTACAGTTTCTCTTCTTCCTGGCAAAAAATGAGGTGCTGCTGTTAGATCTGAAACTATTACATCTTCAGCTTCCTTTAAATTTTCATTTTTGTGAGATATTTACTTGGTTTTCTTTTGAATTCTACTTGAATCCTGTTGCTGTCCCTTGCATAGATGAAGGAGTCTGATTTAGCCAAAGGAGTGGGAGATCATGTTGCAAATGTATGAGTCAACATTAGGGTAATTGTTTGATAGAAAAAACATCCTAGCAAAAACAAATGCTTGCAAATCATATTTTCCAATGCCTGTGTGAAACACATCTGCTTGCAGTTGTAAATGGGTTCAGGTTCCTAGGTAGTTAAGTTCTTTGTTCTCTTACATATATTTCATGTTTTCCTCAGGGGCAAATCTACTTTTGGTTTCTTTTACAAACAAGTCTTTTTTTTTTCATTTATCTCCTTCTCTTTAAGTTCATTGATGTTTGTATGGGACTTTTATACAAATGAGCCTCCTTATCTTGAATCTCAGCCTGACAGCTCAGTAGTGGCAGCAGGAACGTGGAAATAATTAAATGGTACAATAGTTTTAAATCCTAATGAGATAAAGTGAGACGGAAGTTAATTCCTTATTTTCCTCCTTTTTTTCCTCAATGCTTGAAATGAGGGCATGACCTAGAACTAGCTCTGTTACGAAAATGGAGCTATCATTAGTAACAGAGCTATTGAAAATAGCTTCCAGTTTAACGCAGGGCTGCTGTACTGAAAAACCTGTTTTCTTAATGAGTCTGGTCTGCCAGGCAGTGTTTATATAATCCACACTTAATTGGGCTATTTCAGAAAAAAAATGAGTGGCTTTAGAGTCTGGTCATCAGTTGACAGACACAAGAGCAAGAGTTTAGCAATTAGCAGTTACCCCATCCGGTAGCCTTTGCATTAGCACAGCAGGGAATTCTGCTTCTGCCTCTGCGGAGGCCTGATTCTGTTGCACGCTTGGAAAGTGATTTTGTTTTATTAACTTGTTAATAGTGTTAAAGAGTATCTGATCCATCTCACAGGATCAGACCAGAGGTTAATAGTAACTGGTTCTTGTTTGCCTCTGCTGAAGCCAGTCCTTTATGTACCTTATACAATCCTGTGTAGTATTGCCAGGAAGGCTTGCTTGACACGTTTCTCGTTGTGGTTTGCAGATATCCTGACAAGGGCTTTGATGATAATTACTGCCGCAATCCTGATGGCAAGCTGAGACCATGGTGCTACACTCTTGACCCTAACACCCCCTGGGAATTCTGTGCAATTAAAACGTGTGGTGAGTTCAAGCAAAAATTATTACTTCCTTTTCCTTTTCAAAATCTGGACGCAGATAGTTCAAGCAATATAGGACCATAGACAGTTCATTCATTGTACTTTGCTGACTTAAAACATAGCTTTCAATGAGGAAGTTCTTATAATGACATTGTATTTAATTTGGATAGGAAATAAAAAAAAAAAATGTGTGTTACTTAGCACTGGAATATACATATATGTGCATATATTATATACAGGGAGCTATGAAAAAGTAGTAAAATCAAGGACTAACAAAATCAGGCAATGTCAGCATGAAGATCTCATGTGAAATATTAGTTTGACCATGTTGGGCTTCTGCATTACAGTTTGAGGGTAGATGCATGTATAACAATTTTGAGTAGTCCTCCTTCCCTACTCAGTGCTCTATCAGCAAATCTTCTTTGCTTTATTTTCCTCTTGTACATTCTGCAGTTCTAGGCCTTGCTTCCTGCACACTATTCAGCCTTGTGTTGAAGACAGGATTATTTATTTCCCATGGGTTTCTTTGTGATATTCATCCCTCTGGTATCAAAGTACTCCACAGGCAATTAATTTAGTTTCATTCTGCAACTATGAAATGGTGGCTTTTGTTATCTTCACTTTACAGACAGGGGATCGAATCAAAGTGATATTAAGATATGCAAATATTGGATGCACACTTTGAGATGCTTTATATTAGTATTTTATAGACTTTATCATTGTGGGACACATTCTATGTTCAAAGTCCAGATTCTGATGACTTTGTGATATCTGTGCCAGCTTTATTCTACTGATAATTAGGTGTCTTAACTGAGCAGTACAAGGACAAGGAGGAATATAAGATATTGGACCCCTCTTGAAAACTGCAGTGAAGTAATTTGTCTAGAGTTTTATGGGAATGTTGGAGCTGAGGTAGCTGCTAGAAATAAGTTTTGTAGGGACAAGCTTCTGTGAGGAAATCAAGATTTGCATCTCTGAAATTCCTTGCCTCATTCACAGGTTGCAATTTATACAGCAAACGAGATGTGGGGTCTACAGGTGATAGTCTCCTATCCTACCCGCAATACTTCCCATTGTCAGATCTAGGATACTTTTTTTTTTTTTTCTTTTTTTTCCTAAAAGAATTGCCATCCTGTGACATAATCAATGTGTTAGCAAAGTATTAAAGACTGTCTCATAATACTCAGGGAGTTTTTCACTTTACTGAAAATGTGGCATTGAAAAATTATTGGGAGTAGAGGCAACTTCTGAAAACAAGACATGACTCTGACAGAATCCCAACTGTAAAAGCCTGACAGTTTCATACATTCCAGCCTTGTGGCAGAGCCGCCAGGAATATAGACAGGAAAGGGAAAACAGTGGTTTTTGATTTTCTGCAAAGAAGAGGCAAGGGGAAGTTTCCCAGTGAGCAGTGTCCTGTTTGCTCATAAGAAAGTCAGTTTCTCTTAAATCTACAGAGTTTGAGAAACTACAAGTTCCATTGTTGTTCTGCTCAATTTTTGACCAAAATTAAGTGTTAAGGAAAAAAAAAAATCCTCAGAAGTAGACATTCTGCTTTTCATCTAGCTCTAAGTGTCACTTCAGTAGGCTTCTGTCATTGTAAAATTTATTTAGCTCTTAGGAGAAAGATAGAAGAAGAGACTAGATTCTATTAAAAAGAACATTTTAAGCTCATCTGGAACTGAATTTAGTTTTCAAAAAAAAAAAAAAGAAAATTTATTAATTGTTTTCTTTGATTTTCAGGCATCTCTATTATTATTATTATTTGCTTAAATCAAGATAAACAGCTATGAGTGTGTCTCAAATCTAGACAAAAAAGTGACAGTGGTGGACCTTATACAAAAGCATGTTTTCACAATGCAATCCTGTTGTTTTATTTTGTTTTGTTTTGTTTTCTTTAATTTTGTATACATATTTATATATCAAAGAATCACAGAATGGCTGATGTTGGAAGGCACTTCAGGAGGTCATCTGGCCATTACCTTGCTCAGCCAGGTACATCACGAGCTGGTCACTCAGAACTGTGTCTAGACAGATTTTAAAGTCTTCAAGATGGGAGACTCTACAACTTCTCTGGGCAACCCGTTCCACTTGTTCATGGCAGTACAGAAGTGCTTCCTGATGTTTAGACGGAACCTCCTGTGTGCCACGTTCTACCCATTACTCTTGTTCTGTCACTGAGCACCACTTAAAAGAGGCTATCTATGTCTTAATTGCATCCTCCCTTTGGGTGTTTATAAACATCAATAAGATCCCCCTTGAGCCTTCTCTTCTCCAGGCTGAATAGTCCCAGCTATCTCAGCTTCTCCTCGCAGGAGAGGTGCTCCAGCCTTTGATCATCATGTTGGACCCTCTGTTGGACCTTTTCTGGTATGTCCAGGTCTCTCTTGTATTGGGGGCCCAGAAATTGACACAGTAATCCAGGTGTGGCCTCACCAATGCTAAATGGAGGGGAATGATCATCTCTCTTGACTTGCTGGTGATACCTTGCTTATTACTGGCACATTACTGACACATTACTGACTCAACTTGGTGTCTACTAGGATGGACAGAAAGCTGAAAGTTCTGTGGCCTACAGCATATCCTGGTGCCTGGAGTTGCTCCTTTCCAGGTGTAGAACTCCACACTTCTTGTTGAACTTTATGAGATTCTTGTCACCCCACCCCTGCAGCTTGCCAGGGTCCCTTTGTATGTCTGCACAGCCCTTTGGTGAGTCAGACACTCCTCCAGTTTCATGTCATCTGTGAATTTACTGTACTTTGCTCCATCGTCGAGACCATTAATGAAGATGTCAAACAGGACTAAACCCTTTTTTTGACCCCTGAGATACTCCACTTGTTACTGGCCTCCAGCTAGGCTTTGCACCACTGATACTCTGGGTCCTGCTGGTCATCCAGTACTAAATTCACTTCACTGTCTGCTCATCCAGCCCATACTTCAACAGCTTTTCTATGAGCATCTTAGGGGGGACAGTGTCAAAGACCTTACTGAAGTTCAAGAAGACGATATCCACTGCACTACCCATATCCATCAGACTGGTGATTTCAACTGAAGCTTACCAGGTTGGTCAGACAGGACTTCTTCTTGGTCAATCCATGCTGAGCGATAATGATTTTCTTCTCCATCATGTGCTTGGAAATGGTTTTCAGGATTAGCTGTTTCAACATCTTTCCAGGGATTGGGGTGAGGCTGATCAGCATGTAGTTCCCTGGGTCCTCTTTCTTGCCATTTTTAAAGATGAGTGACATTTGCTTTTCACCAGTCTTCAAGCACTTTACCCAGTTGACAAAAAAACTATAGAAAATGGTCTCACAATCACATCTGCCAGCTCACTCGGTGCTTGTGGATTCATCTCATCAGGGCACATGGACTTCCGAATGTACAGTTTGTGCAAGTATTCCCTGACCTGATCATTTTCCTCTAAGGGTACATCTTCCTTGCTCCAGCCACTCAGCCTGGTCTCTGGGACCTGGGATTCCTGAAAGCCACTCTTGCTGGTAAAGACTGAGGCAAAGAAGGCATTCAGTACATCAGCCTATATGTATACACTGGGGGGACAGAGAGAGAAGGGAATGGCTCTGGCATAAGCAGTGAGCAGTGGCTAACTAAAAGTGGAAACAAGGGATTCTCTGTCTTTACTCTGGAATTCTTAACAAACCAAATTATACCTTGTCTTGTACTTCCACAATCCATCATTCAGAGTATTGTCTCCTTGCTTGCTCTTGGTTTGGGACAGTGCAATGTCTTGGAGTGTCAGCCACTTCTTGTCAGTCAGTCAACTGCCTGAAATGCAAGGGTTGAGTATGAATACTCTTAATGTACTCCCTGGCAGGCAGGGCAGGCAGTAAGTGAATTTATTCTGCACTTTCATAAATCATTGTAAATCCAGTACAAATTAGTTAAAATTATTCCATTGTGGAAAAGTAATAATTTGCCACTTTGGATAATGTCAGTAATCAGACTCTACAGAGACTGAGGAAAATGAACAGGACACCAATACTTGTTTTGTATCAGGCACCCATTAAATCCATCCATCTTGAAAATCTTGCCTGTGAACTACAATACTAATTCATGAAATCATATCTATAGTTTTTGATTCTCTGAACATTTACATTCAGTCTTTTTACATTATAAATGCAATCTTGTTTAACTCTGTAACTGAATTGTCTTTCATTAAACAGTTATTTTTCTTTTAACAAAGCTGAGTTTCCCACATTTCTCTAAATATTAGATAATACATGAATCATATGCAGTCTAATAGATTTATTCTTTTCCTGTGGTAGAAGTGATTTTATTACGAAAATAAAAATATTCCTAAGTTACAGCTGACTGTTTCAAAAACGCAACTTTTATAAACCTTTATCCTTTGGCATTTCCTGAGCTGATGTGTCAGTGTTCTGAGGATTCACATCTGGTTTTGCTGGTCACGCAAGCTTACAGTCCATGTAGCTCTTAGTATTTACAGCTTGAACTATGTTTTATAAAATCATTGGGTGGGAGAGCAAACTACTGTAATGTTACGTTTTTCTGCATAAATCAATTATATCATAGTTCTGAAGAAAATGTAATTCCAATACCAGCATCACCAAATTTAAATGAAAAATATAAATCAACAATGTAATGATTTTAATGTCGTGATGAAAACTTTTTGTCTCATCTCTGGGCATAAGTTCATAACATTAAATGTAATTTCTTTCTTTGATCTTCAGTTAGAAAGTATATTAAGATCAGTGGAAATTTCACATGCAATTTTACTTCAGTTAATACTGCAGTATTTTCACTGCAGAGAACTAGATCTTTGGAAACTACTGAATAAATTTATATGAGGAGGAGTACAGAAGTAATGATCTCAAAAGTGTTGATATTTTTGAAGGATGTTTAGCATAGGCTTATGGCATTGCCCTCTACACAAGAAGCAGTGCTGCCCACTGCTTTTATAAACAAAAGAAGGAATTAATTGCAGATATTACAATTATACCAGCAGCTTGGTGACTGGAAAGTCAA